GAGAGAGAGAGAGAGAGAGAGAGAGAGAGAGAGAGAGAGAGAGAGAGAGAGGATATATGGGTGTGAAAGGAAAGGTGCAAGAAAGACAGAAATGTCAGCACACGGGGAAAGTTGCAGTCAGATGGTTCTGACGACGAAGGACAAACTCACTTTAAACATACCAAATATAATTTTTTACATCTTTCTTTTCGTTTAAGTTTTATTTTAACCAGCAAATAACTCGGTGAGTTCGATGCACATGGAGTGCTCAAACATTACTTTGTTCTCCATCCTGAATTAGACAACTTCGCAAAGGAAGATTCAAATATCCAGAACTCAGAGAAAAAATGATATCATGCGACAACTTTTTCCTGTGCTGGGAGTGGGCGCTCGTAATGACGAATTTAACCAGGTGTCCAAAACTAATTATATGGCACGTATAAGCCACCTATATGTCCAATTTTTAACCATACATCAAAATCAAAACAGTTGGGAGGTTGGGTTGTTTCGTTTGGTTGGTAATGTTAATTCTAGCCTGTCAGCTATGGGGTTAGTTATACTTATTGAACACGTTATTTAGATAGGTAGGTAGTACGGTAGATACTATGGTGAGTAGGTAGGTAGGTACGTTGGTTGGTTTCACCACGTACACACGTACACACACACACACACACACGCGCGCGCGCGCGCGCATCTTCTACTCCACACACATCTGTGCACACTATAATAATAATACAATAGTATGCTTGCACTCACAAACAGGCACACAGTCACATTCATACTATAAATGAACAGTAACTGTAAACATTAATAATGTTAAGCTAGATACGCCCGGGCAGTGCCACTGAGTAGCGCCCAAGGTAGGTAAGTAGGTAGGTGGCGCTCGTTGGCAGACTGGTTGTTTTACTTTACGTTCCAAATATTGACAAGCACATCAAGACGCTCATTTGCTTTTCTTTGCCTATTTATTTTTTATTGCATGAGCGATGAAAGCAAACAATGCGTTTATATTAACTACAAGCGTGATATACAAACGTAAGAGATAAAAGGATAGAAACAGCAATAAACGGAATAAAAATAAAAGGGATGGAGCGAGGGAGAAGCGAGGAGAGGGGGGGGGCAGACAAACAGACAGACAGACAGACAGACAGACAGACAGACAGACAGACAGACAGACAGACAGATAAGGAAAAGGGATAATATGAAGAGAGGGAACATAGAGACACTGAACCAGCGTGTATATGATACATCCATTTAAAACCACGCACTTGCGCGAAGCATGTTCTGGTCTTTATCAGAACTAAATCTAATCTCCTTTTTCCCCTGGGCTTCGTAACAAGATTTAAATCGAGACAGCGAACTAAAAAACTGCTAAAGAGCTCCGAAAACTTCGCGTATTGATTGCCATTCCCGTCGAGCCCGACTCAATAAGTCTCCGCTCGTCTTACGAGGGAATCACTTGTCCGTCTTGGACACAAGGCGGGCGTTCTCCCGAGGAAAGGAGGCGGGGCCAACTCGTGGAGGGTACCTCCTCTCTCGGTATCACTCACACTCCCCAGACACCAATAGTATTACGCGAGGCGGCCTTCGGGCGTTCAGCGACCAGAGGTACACCACTCACGCGCGTGCGCTGTTACTCACAAGCCCCGAGTTTCCGATTTCGAGTTTCAAAACATTGGTAATCAGCTTTCGCTGTGCAGTAACGAGCCGAGATTTCATCAACCCCCGCCCCTCTCGTGAAAGACAAACCAAACGCTTGGTATTTCTGCATCGTTATCCCCCTACCCACCCGTATCTCTTTTTCTGCTTATGCTTCGGCTTCAAACCAGCTGTCTCCGCTCCAAAAACTAACAAATCACGTGGGACGACAAATTAATGAAACGCAGAAAGTAACACCCTCCATGTATTCTTAAGAAAGAAAGAAAAAACACCCCACCCCAAACCCCTTTTCTGCGTCATAGCTTTATTCTTAAACACCCGCACATAATTCTAAAACTATTTAGTCACGTTCCAACTTCATGCGTTTGCAAACACTTCATGTCACATCACTAGTCGACATTCCAGATGTGTAAAAGAGTTTTCTTGTTTTGTTAAGCTTTTTAAAAACAAAAATTCGGCAACTCGCATTAATTACTTGAACGTTTGGTGGTAACTGCCCAGTTATTCCAGACCTTGATAGTTGAACACGCCATTTGCGCTCAAACAAGAGCGAATGTGAGGATATCCGAGGCAATTTGTGGCATCATAGATAAAGGTAGGTCCGACAACTACAAATGAGCTCGAGGGAACCAGGCACGGGGGAACAGATACCGTGTATATGTGTGACCCTTCATCTTTCAAAGTACTCGCTTTATTTTTGTTTTGAAAAGACTGCGTCCAGTGGCAGCATCTGTGGCTCGTCACGCTCTCCTCAACATTGGGGCCAGAGGTGAAGCGTAAACCGTGAGTCGACATGATGTTCCCTCTCGCCCGCTCACGTTTGACTGTGTACTCACGCTGAAAATGACGGTGTTGACGACTCGAGGGGCCTGTAGAGTATAATAGTCGGGCTCCGAGGAATGCTCGTGCTCTAGCATACTACACTCTGGCAGAGATCTTCTGCTCTCTGCAATTTAGAGCTCCACCGTTCATGTTATTTGCCAGTTGCTCTGCTGCATGGATACTCAGAACTCGCAAAGAGATTAAACAACGCCCTCGAAGTAATTTACAATTGTCCTGTTGCTGCTATCTGTAAGTAAACATTACACGTGTGTGAGTCAAAAAAGGCAAAAGAAAGTGTGACTATGATCCCGTTTCCAAACACTAAAGTGTCAGGAAATATTCACTTAACATCTTAAAGGATCAAAAACAGTTGAAATTGCAGTCTGGTTCGAACTCCATTTTCTCAATGTCATTCAGATAATGTGCGTTACATGTGCAGCTCCTGCTACAGTGACTTTCAAGTCCTCTTTTGACACTATTTATCAGTCTTTGTCTTTTACATGTTTACAGCACCATTCATAAATTGTAGAACAGCCCCGTTTTTCTTTCCAGAAAATCACTGAAAGAAAACACATTATACTATACACATGATAAAAATGCAACATTTTGTGTTATTGGCGTTATCCAGTATGCTTAATAGTCAATAATGCCCCTTTGATGATTTGGGCGCAAAATACAGATACGATAATGTCTCAATTGTCTCTTTAACAATTCCTTTACGGTTATTCATTTCATTCTTTCTCAATTGCTGTGCTTAGTTCGCATTTTCTGTCCTTCAAGATACAAGAAACAAAATGAAAGCTGCAAGCCCGTACCTGTGAAAGGACTGTAATAATAATATTATGTCATGATGCGTTTCCCAATGAACTAATCGTTCCCTGGCATTTGTCTTGAGAGCACTTCCGAGAGAGGGGGGAGAGGGGGGGGACAGTCAGACAGAGAGGATGGAGAGAGAGGGAGAGGGAGAGAGTGTGTGTGCGTGTTTGTGTGTGTGGGGGGGTGTGAGGGTGTATGTGTGTGTGTGTGCATGTGCGTGTGTTTGTCTGTGATAAAGTGTTTATGCGAGTCCACAATATAAGAGAGCACAAAAAGGAAGGAAAGAGAGGGGTGGAAAAGAAATTACTTTTGTCAAGAACCTTTGCAATTACATAATAGTATACACTTTTTTTTGTGGAACATAATGCTGCCCCCTTTTTCTGCTTAACTATTAATTTTTTTAAATTTTTTTTAAATTTTTATTTTTTTATTTTTTTTTGGGGGGGGGGACATAGAACAGCGATTGCGTAAAAGGGTATTAATGTTCTTTTAGTTCTGTTGGTTCATTTTTAGAGTGTTTGTATATACTATGGGGTGTGTTTAATGTTTTGAGTTGTTATTGTTGTTTGTTTGCTTTGGATTTGTTTGTTTTGTGGGGGTGTTTGTTTGTTTTTCTTTTTATTGTTTGTTTGGGGGGGTTCTTTCCTGGTTCTTTTCGGGTGGGGGGGTATTGGGGGTTTTCGTTTGGGAGGGGGGTGTTGTTTGTTTGTTTTTCTTTTTATTATTTGTTCGGCGATTTTTTGCTGGGTTTTATTCGCGGTTGTTGAAAGGGGCTGTTGTTGTTGTTGTATTTGTCGTTGTTTTGGGAGGGGCGAGGGAAGGGTAGTGGTTTACATTCTTTCTGAATTTGGCCACTATATTCTTCTCGAAATAGTTGAGCATATTTCTTGATTTTTTATTCTATCAAAGAGTAAATTTTGCCTTGTGTTGAATGTGGCACAAAACTCAAAACCCAACCATGCAATGACACGAACACATTTTCTATTTCATTCAGGGGCATAATGGCTTCTCATGAGGACGTGAAAAGCCGACCTGGAGGGCAGCTTTCCTTCGGCATTGATCGTATCCTGGGTGGTGAGTCCAAAAAGACCTGGTCATCTCCACTAGGCGGTTCTCCGACGGACACCCAACAACTCACGCCTGCTCAGTCCTGTTGTGATGAAGATAAAGACAAAGACAAAACTGTCGTCACTGCACACTCCACACGTTTACCGTCACTTGAAGATTCAGACACTGAAAATGATGAAATAATTGTTGAGGACAGACTTCACTCTCAGCGACCCCTCAGCCGAGAGAAATCTGAACATTTACAGTCAGCCGTCGACGACTGTGACAGACCTGCTTCTCCTGACAGAAACCACACAGGCTGGCGCCTTAACGGGACTGGCTCCCCAAACAGACATTCAGACTCTTCTAATGCCGACCGAATCCCTCGTTTACTTGACTCTACGTTGTCAATATCTCTTCCTCTTGACCACAGAGGAGACAGATTCACAAGTTCTGAATATAATCTATCACACGGAGCACAGAGTCGGACAGATATTTTCAGCCTTACTCAAAAGTATTCACAAGAGGATTTGCCTCGCCACCTTCCATTCCCATACCCGCACGTGCAACTCCAGTACCCTCATAGCGCTTTAGACTTGCCCGGAGTGAGGTCAGCACACCACCCGAGTCTGCCGGAGTTCCCATTTGACGTGAGTTCCTCCTTGACCAGTGTCGGCCTCGGTCTGGGCGCGGACAGGAGACTGAGTCTCTTCAAAGTCCCCACAGACAGGCCACCCCTGCACGTCCTGCCGGCCTGGGGAGAGAGCTCTCCTGTCTGGGTGGATGTTAGGAGGGACAGATTTGGCTGTAAGATTCCATCACTGTGCTTGTAATGGTTCATTGTGTTGTTTCTACCTCTCCATACAGGCTTAAATACTGTGACGGTCACGATAGCTTTATGACAACGAAACCGCTTTGTCTAAATAGACGCATATGTACATTCATATTTTTGAGTTATTTCTGTTCGCTTTTGATTCTGTGTTTAGTCCTGAAGCTGCTATTGGTCGTCTTCAGTCACTATAGAGTTGCCTGTTTAATCTCTAAATTAAGCTAGCTGGGTAGATCTCTCCTGACAGACAGAGCAAGAAAGCATGGTAACCTAGTGGGAAAATCTATAACTCGGACTTCCTTTCTGAAATCCAGTGTTATTGTTTTTATGGGGGGGGGTGTCCCTTTGCATCAACGAATTGATGGAGTATGTGACCAAGCAGGAAGAGGAGAATTTCCCAAAACACATAATCATAACTCTGAATCTTGCTTCATGTACTGCATTTGAATTCATTGCGCGGCGAATACTAAAATAAAGAAAGAACAACTTCAGTAATCAGTATCATAACATCATCGAATTAGTATGCTTTTTATCGGGTCATCTGTTCAACTTTTGAAGTCTTCCTGACTGGATTTATTTCTCCCCATACACCCCTCTATCACAGCGCTGTGCGGGCTACCATCTCTTGCTTTTGACCGATGTCTATACAGTCCCCCTCCCCCCCACACACACACACTCACAACTC